TCTGATGAGGGCTAAGTAGACTTTGTCTAGATAGAAGACTTCTTTCCTTAAAAATCTGAAGATAATTGGATGAACTATTAATAGTCATTGAACCTGTAAATCGTGGTTATCTATCTGTCGACTGAAAATTGAAAACATCAAAACCTTTCAATAGCAAAATAGGGGCTGGGGAGGTGGCTCAGTGGTGAAAGCAGTGGATGCTTTTCCGGAGGACCTGGGCTTGACTCCCAGCACCACCTGTAACTCCCTAGAGCTCCCATGTCCTCTTTCCTGACATCCATATGGTACACAGGCATACATGCAGTAGACACCACACCCGAACACACAACAAAATTACACAAAAATATTAAAAGCTGAAAGACTGCATTTTCTGACAGTACAGAGATGGTATATGCCCTTGCCCCGAGACATCACTGTGATTGTCAATCCACTTCCAAGCTGGGCCACCAGCTCCTGAGGAACGTGCTATGCCTGTGAGCTCAGGTGGTACACTCTAAATCGGCATCTGTTCTGTATCAACTTCTGTGTACCCAGATCAGGCCCTCATCTGGGTAGGCTGCCCCCTAGGTCATCTCCTCAGCTCCCAGGGCTTCGGTCACATCTGTAGCTCTGACCTTGCCTTCCCCAGTTCTCTTGATTGTTTCAAAAGGGTTCCCATTCCTCAAGCCATCTCAGCAAGGACCCATACCCAGCAGCCTTCTGTGTTCCAAAGGCCTGGCTCTGGGAGCACTTCCAGCTAGCTTTTCATCTGCGGTACTCCCTTCCAGCCCCTGGCTGTTCTGCATTTACCTCACTTACTGGTTCCTGTTTGCTCTCACCCCAACAAAGGCCAGCCCTCCTGTCTGTCTGGTCTCCTGACCAGGCCCTCAGCACTGGGCCAGTGCCTGGGGCCCTGTAGATGTCTGAGCAATGTCTCATAAGCAAATGAACAGACACTACTACTTACTGCCAAAGCTGGGCTCTCAGGTTAGGTTACCTTCCATTCGCCATCCCCCCTGTCTGCTAGGATGACGACTAGCCATTACATGGCTTACCTAGAAGTCTCTTTCCTTAACCACTTTGACTCCCCAAGGCACTGCCCCAAACCAAAATATTAACATATTTTACATGTGTGTTTACAAGGTTTTTGGATTCCTTTTACCATTGGTTACCATTTTCATTGAGTTCTTTGTTTACTTTTTTGTTTACTGGGAAAGGCTGGGGAAGAAGAATGAAGCCAGAGGAGAGAACACAGACACCCTGGGAACAGAGTAGTGTGGGTTCAAATGTGTCCAGGGTGAGACAGGGAGGTGTGGACCCTGGGACCAGAAAGCAAGAAGTAAATGGCAGCCCTCACAAGGGAAGTCTGCTAGAGGAATGAGAGCTATTCACTCAATGGCCCCGGCTGGCTTTGTGTAAAATGAGGGCATCCGAACAGCTGTGACGTGGCATTCCTTTCTTCTCCCAGTTGTACTGTACACAGAATTGAGAAGTGTTTCTCTTTCAAGACAAGGGGAAAATTATCAAAAGCCAAGAAAACATTATAATATCAGAAGATACGCTATCTGGGAGCTATTTGCCAAACAACTACTCTTTTCCATAAAAGGCTATTTATGCAAACTGTTAAAATAGAACAGCGATGGGTAGTATTCCTCTCAGCAAGCTGTGCTGTCAAAACTGACCTGGGACATAACCTGGCTCACTGTCCTGGACAACTCCTTACCAAACCTTCTAGATGTAACACACACTTGGAAATAGCTGAGGGGCACCTTCAGGCTGTTGAGCCTCTGTTGTTTAACCAACCTTTCACCCACTTGCTTTGAGGGGACCTGCTACCTTTCAAGAAACAGAAGGGAATTCCAATGCTATCAGGAATTCACACGAGCAGTTCACGGGACTTTAGTGAAAAGCTTACCCTGGGGTTATGTTTAAAAGAAATATCTCAGGACTGGAGAGGTGGCACATTGGCTGCTCTTCCAGAGGACCTGGGCTCAATTCCCAGCACCCATATGGCAGCTCACAACTGTCTAACTTCAGTTCCAGAGGATCTGACACCCTCACACAGACATGTAGGCCAAACACCAAATGCACATAAAAAATAACTTTTAAAAAAAAATATTTTAGTCCTAGAAAGGAGGCAATAAAAGACCTTGACATAGCATTACTAATGCTAACAGTTCCCTAAAAGCCCCGGCTCTCTATCCCCAGAGTCCCCTGTCCTCAATTTTCACCCAAGGTTAAGTGCTGAAGGCACACCCATAGCCTTGGTTGGCCAAGGGCACGCTACATGTGTTTGTTTCTCTGGCTTATTGACTGTCCTTTCAAAGCTAGAGATTGACATACTCTTTGCAGACTTGTTTTAATTGGTTGAGATTAACCTGGCACCGGTGTGGAGACAGGCTCGCAAGGGGTCTGATAGAAAGACCAGAGGCTATGTAGGAGGAAGTAGGTGTTCTCAAACTCCGGTGGCCAGGGGAGCCTCTGTGTGCTTTGGTTTAACCTTGTCCCAAGAACTCCAAAGCAAGGTGCATGGAGCCTTTCTCCTGGCTCTTGAGGAAGACGTGATCACGCTCCCCTGCCTGAAAAGCAAAAAGCCTAAGACATGGCTTCAGTCAGAGTACACAGCCAGACTAATAGCTAATGGGGCAGTGTCTGCAAGTCCTGGCTACACTGTTTTCTCTTTCCCTCCAGAGGCAAAACCAATTATCCTAATATCAAAACACTCCTTTCAGATACAGGTAAGAACCTCACAAAGGGTAAAGAGACATAGATATGTCCTAAGTCAGAAGTTCTCAAAATTTCAAAATTACGTGTGTATCACAATCACCAGGAGAGGGGTAATGGGATGGCTTGTCAATTGTATAGATTTATTTCTGTCGTGTGAGTTTCATAGACTGCCTTGGAGTTCAGACTCCTCAAAGTGCTGGATTGAAGGAATTTAGGTCAGATAAACACAGATGACCCCCTGAAAAATCCTTCTAAAACACTCATATGATGTAATGTAAGTGCCTTTACTGGAAGGAGGTTTTTATCCTGCACAGTAATATTCTAGTATAAGTTTTAGGGATTATAATAATGGGAGCTGCATGAGAAAAGTCCATACAGAATGTGGCTTCGTAATGCTGATTGATGTGAGAAATAATATACGGACGTTGAATATTTGTAAGTGCTCTCCCCTGAAACTCAGCAGCCTAAGGAATCTGCTCGGTATGTACTATCACCTTACTGGAGGATCGAGGAGATGTAAACTGGGGGTGTTTGATGACCAGCTGGGAAGTGCTGGAGACGGAATACAGCTTTTGTCTTTAAACCCGGTCATCTTTGTCACTACACCACTCAGGGCTATTTTCCAAAATTCCTCTGGAGGGTAAGGTTCAGAAAAGGGGTCTGGAGGCCTCAGGCCACTGCTACTTCAGCCATCCACTCAAGACAGTATACTGTAAACCGACGGAGACTGAATCTGGATTAGATGCCTCTACCAAAATGCATCCTGGGCATAAGGCAGCCTAGGCTGGGTATGTTCGGGTATGTCCAATCTGGGAGGTTCTTGCTGTAGATGATTTGAACATTTTCCATAGCTTCCTTTCAATTCATTACATATTTATTTTAATAAAGAAGAAATTCTGTCTTTCGAGGGAATAAACCCCGCTGGTGAGAGGTCATCTCAGCCATGGCCTCACTCTTTGCCAGGCCTCTGAAGTGCCTAGACATGCAGTTACGAGTCATGTGACCCATGGCAGACTGAGTTTTTCCATTTACCCAGCACTCCGCTAATTTCACATGTGTATTTCATGTAAGTCTACATATGTGTGGATGTCGCTCCTAGGAGCCCAATTCTACAAATCTGCAGACAGAGTCCCAAAGGAACTTTTCCCAGTCCTTAGTTACACTCAGTCCTGGAATGGGGTTGAGCGCATTTCACATTCAATACATTTAATCCTCATTACAACCCACGGAACAGATGCCATAAAATCGGGCACTTTTGCAGCTAAGAAAACCGAGGAACCTACCCTTCCAGTCCCGCACCCCACCAATGGCCACACCATTAAGAAATTCAGGAGCAGCTAGGGTCTCTTCAATCACCTAAGATTCTCAATCCTACCCCAACCCCAAGTAATACTTTAATCACAGTCCAACAGATTCCACACATCATCCGGGTACGTGTGCCTGGAGTGTTGGGGGGGGGTGTCCCCTTGAGAACTACTGGAAAACAAAACCCCAATTTCTGGAATTAGTTCTTAGGACGGAGCCTTTTGCTACAAACTAGTTCTTTAAGGCGTGCCGTCCCAGGGTCTTCCACGCGCGTGTCCGTCTCGGGGGCTGCGCAGGCCACGTGTACCGAGACTCGGGGCCGGGACCGGAGCGCGACCCGGCAGCCCCACCCACGAACAGGCCTGGTGGCCGCCGCCCCACCACGTGGAGTTGCATTTCCTCGACTCCGCTCGGGGCAGCGTGGAGCATCAGCACCACGGCCCCGCGGCCCGCCAGCGGCCCCAGACCCCGCGGAGGGGCGAACGAGGGCGCGCGCAGGGACGTCCCGGGTCCCGTCCCGTCCGGGTCCCGCCGGGCCGCGGCCATCTTGGCGGGCCCGCCTCGCCGGCCGTGCGCTCGGGCCGGGAGAGGGGCGCGGCCCCGGGGGCCCGCATGGCTCGGGCCCGGGGGGGTGGGGAGCGGCGGACGGGGCGACCGGCCGCGCGCGCGGGCTTGGGGGTCCCCACGCGCGGCGGAAAGCGGAGCCGAGCCTCGGGTGCAGCCCGCGACCCTCGTTCCCCGGGGCTCCTTCCCGAGGCCAAGGCGTAGCGCGGGCCGCGCGTGGACACGCCCTCTCCGGGCTGCAACCAGTTTGTTAAAAAAAAAAAAGTGTTTTTTTCAAAAAGGTCCCGCCGTTGCGGTTTCGGCTCCAGGCAACGGTTGCTACCCGAAGTGCAATCCGCCGGGCGCTCGGCCCCGCCGCCCGCGACCCCGCCCCGCGCCGGGCTGGGCGGTGACTCACGCGGCGCCGCCCGGCCGCTTCTTAAGCTCGGGGCTGCGGGGCGCGCGCAGGGTTTGCCTCCGCCGCCGCCGCACAGCCGACTCTCCGGGCAGCCACCAGCCAGCCAAAATGCCCAAGCCAGTAAGTGGTCGCCGTCGAAGGAGCGGGTGGCGTGCGCCAGGCTGGCTTTCCTCGGGGAGTCAGCTTGCGTGGGCAGTTTCTGGGGACAGAGTTTGCTGGCGAAGGGCGCCGGCTGCCCTCCTGCCACCTGCAGACGCCTTTAGCCCGGTTGGCTGGAGCTCTCGGGTGGCGGGCCGCCCCCGCGCCCACCCCTCGGGGTCTTCGGGTGCTTTTAAAGTGTCTTGCCAATGGAACTTCCAAGTTCCTTAACTAGTTCAGATCGCACGGAGCTTCCCAACGCCCTACACCTGCTCGCCCGGTTCCTTCGAGAGACCGAAACCACCTGCAGCCCACACCTTCCTGGGCGGCTTGAAGGGCATCTGGGAGAGGAGCGGCTCTGTGCCTGGGCTAGCCTGGTCTCGGTCGTTTCTCGGAGGCTGGGGAGGAGCGGCCGGGCTAAGCTGGGTTTTTTTTTTTTTTTTTTGCTGGTCGCAGCAGGATCCCTATCGCGGGGAGGGTTGGCCGTGGACATGCATTGCAGATGAGGCAGTCCCGAAGGCTTGATAAGGAGGCTCGCTGGGTTCCGGTCGTGAACTTGGGCTAATTAACGAGCTGTGCGCTTGCCTCTCTGATCTTGAATCTGATTGTGTCGAGATTGCTGGCGGGACGGGGTTGGGGAGCAGGGGAGAAACGACTAGCAAGGCAGATCTTGAGTGTACACATTTCACCTGCCCATACACTGGGGAGCTGGTGAATGGGTGGAGGGCAGTTTTATGTCTTTGAGTTGAGATGGAGAACAGAGTCAAGATTAATAAAACTACAGAGTTTTAATAATTAATAAAACTACCAATAATTAAGCTACAGTTTGTTTCTAGTCTTTAGGGCTTACCTGGTTTTTACTACTTTTACATTTTATGTTCTCTGAAAGTAGCGTCTCTGGAAATCTTTTTTTTTTTTTTAATTCAATCAGGTTAAAGAAATTACTCATAAAATTATCCAGAAAAAAAAAGTATCGTTTTTTATCTAAGTTATTCATGAGAGAGTATTTTGGCCCCACACAAAATGCATTGCAAACTAAAAAGTGACTCATCCAGGCTCTACAGTGCTGTGGTGTAAAGCTGGCCCAGGATGTGGGCTGCAGCAGCTGCTGAGGGTGGGGGTGGGGGTCAGGACATTAGTTCCGGGCGTGGTTTTCTTGATTTCATTAAAACATACAGAGATAGTGGGGGGGGAGCTAAAGGGGAGCAGGAGCCTGTTTCCAGTTACTCCTTTTTTCTTGTCTCCTTACAAACTGTAATTTCTCTTTTATCCTTATTTTTAATTAGGAGCTACCCGTAGCATATTCTTTATCTTTATAACCAGCTTTAAGCGTGTAGTTAGTGGCAGAAAGTGTATTGTTAAGCAGCCATCACCGTTGTGCACTTTTCCGACATCGCTATTCTAAACTGATTCTCAGCACCCATGCAATACAAATCTGCGTTTTCCCAGACCCTGGCAATCACTGTACTATTCTACTTGTGTGTATTGAGTCCTCATGAGGACTGAAACTTACCCAGCCCATCCTGTCTCCATTAGTGTAAAGTGTCATAAGCCCAGGTCCTGCACTATGTCAAAACTGCCTCATTTTAAAGGCTTTCTCTCACCCCCTCTCCCCCTTTTATAACTGATAAGTTTCAATTTTAAAGGTCTCCTGTGGTTAAGAACCTTGTTCTGAAAAGAAGTGGAGTTGTTGAGCTGTTGAGGAAGAAGGATAACCATAGTCTATGAGTGTTATCAGCTTCAGTTACAGAGTAACTTTTTTGAATAGCCAGAGTTAACCATCTCCAGACTTTGCCGAGAGGGCCCCTTTTAGGTGCAAGGTGTGCTCCTGTGGAAGGAAATCCCCACTGCCCCTCTGCAGGTGGGGAAGGGTGTTAGAGACCTCTGTTGGATTGACCTCTGGGAATGGCCTAGTGGCCATCTCTAAGGCTGTTACTGGGAAATTGAATTTGTTTAGTTTGTTGGTGTGTGTGTGGGTGATTGGGGTTTGCTTATTTCCTGCCTGGGTAAGTGTTAAAGGAAGCATCCACCAGCAAACTCTGTAGGTATGTCCTTTAACCAAAAGGTTATTGACTCTGTTTAAGCCCAAAATGAGAATTTTCCTTGTGTGGCTTGAGTGGGGTTGGGTGCTTTACTGGATTAAGGGGCAATGACAGTTAACCGCAGACACATCTGAATTTTGGCTTTCCACATGGTGGTTGGTTTCTTCTCCCTGCCGAGTCAGATTACTTTGTTCCTAAAACAGTACAAATGACATGATATCTGCACCCTGCTTATTAAAATGTTGGATGTTATTCCTTCAGCAAGCAGGGTGGCGGCACAGAGGGCCAACATGGCTCTTTTCTGGGGGGAGACTCACAGTCTGGTTCTCCAACCAAGACAGAACTTAGCAAAGAAGGAACAGTCTCCCAGTTAAGACAGCCTCTGGGTGGGGTGGGGGGACCGTGGACCTCTGGAGAAGCCTGAACTTTGGCTCAATCCCCTGGAAGGCATTGGAGAGGGGGGTCTGGTTCTCGAGGAAGGACAGCTGTGGTCTGTGTCTGCGCTTGAACCTCTTTGGTCATTTTGGAGATCCATCTGGTGGGAGTAATGGGCTTCTGAGGAGGGCAGGCCAGTGCTCTGGAGTGTGCCTTGGCCTGTGCTCTTAGGGTGCCTGGATTGGGTGCTCTGTGGCCTCCTTGGGGACACGGGTGGGGTTGGTTTGATGAGTCGGTGCAGGAAGCAATTGCACAATCTTTTCAGGCAAAGTGGCCTGGGAGCTCCTCTCTCCCTTCCTTCTCTCTGTTCTCCCTAACCTGCCATCCTGGTCTGGTGGGAAGCTGCAGGCAAGCCCGAGAGAGAAGGGTGTTGCCTTTCAAGCCACCGTCTCAGATATCTCGAAGCTTCAAGGGGAAATGCCTCCCCGACACACCAATATGCCTTAACCAGGCTCACGTCCAGAGTGGTGCTATGGACCCAAGACTTACCCTTTGTTAGAACTTGGAAGCATGTTTTCATACTCGCTGTGAACTAAAACTTAGTTTTGCACTGCCGAGGACAGAGCCCACCACTGCTTCGTGCGTGCTAGGCAAGTGAGTCAGGGTAATTTCTGAGACAGCCTCCCCTCGTTGGCAATATTCCCTTTCACTTGGTATTTTAACAGGGATAGATTTCAGTGAATATACCTACAGGTTTTAAGTGCACACGTGCCAGCCCGCACACACCCCTTCATTGAGAAAAGCACATGGACACGCTCCCTGCCCCCTCCACATCCCCTTCACCCAAGGCAGATGGTGAATTAGGTAGCTAAGGTTTGGGCATGTGGCACTGGGAAATGCTGGCTAGGGTTACTGATCCGCCTTGTCATCACACAATAAGCCTCAATGAATATTTATAGCTTGGCCGCGAGTTTGGCAGACATTTGCTAAGTTCCCGTGAGGGGTGTTGAGGCCCCGAATGGCAGACAGAGAAGTAACCCTGTCACCGGGGGTTCGAGGTCTGGTTTCGGGGCAGTGTATAATCGCAGTAGATGCTGAGCTGTGGCTCTGGCAGTTGTGGGAAGGATGCTGACCAGTGAGGAATGAAGGAGTATTAAAAGGGGGTAAGCACCCTGGCTCAGCCGTGCTAGGAAGTGGGAGGAATGAGGGTTCCAGTCGGAGCCTGGTGTGGCGCTGTGCTGTGCTAGCCTTACTCTAGCTCGTTCTCTTAACTCAGGTTTTGACCTTCTGGAAGGAGCAACATGATAAGTGGCATAAGAGACAGTGGGACCAGGGGAGGTAAAACTGAGAGAAAGGGAAAAAAGCCATTTGTGGTAGATTGGATACACAGGGCGACACAGGCTGGGTAGGTGGCCTTCCGGTTTCTGTCTTGCACAGATGAATGGGTGCTGGGAAAGAACCAGTGATGGGGCCTGCCCAGAACATGCTAATAAAGTTGAAAACAATTCTGTTTTTTTTTCTTTTTTTAAAGTCTGACCTCACCCTTATTTTGCTGTTTTGGGCTGTGGCTTGTGACTGAGGTAGGGAAGGTTCTCGTAGAATGGGACTCTTAACTTCAGGAAGACAATGCTAGCCTTTGCTCTGCCTGGGGTCCAGGAACACGGAGCTTAATTTGGAGCTTAATTTGGCCATGGCTCTTTTTTTGTGTGGGGGGGACTGATCCTTTCCCTCTTTATTTCTTCGGTGTTGGCTTCTGTTAGGTTGCCACCCTAAAGGGTAACATTGTGATTTCTTACCATAAATGTGGACCATCTTGATTAATGTTTAGAGCCCAGGAGAAGAAAACAGCACCACCTAGTGAACTGTAAATCTCTTTCTTAGTTTTTGAGACTGAAACTTTTGTGACCCTTTGACCTTTTGGAGATCCCCAGCATGGCACAGTGTGCTGGGTCTCCTTTAGTCTTTGGGACAGTCCGCTCTACTGTATGAAACAGCTAAGTTCAGTCTGCTCTCAAAATTAGAAAAACACAGTTAGACCTTTACTTTCGCTGCAACATTAACTGCGTGCAGATTCTTGACTCTTATTTTTAATTTGCGCTATCGCTGTTGAAATATGAAATGCTTTTGGAAGAGACCAGAAGCACCCTCCTGTAGCATCCTAACTAACATGTTTACCCTCCATTGCGGTTGACTTCTGTAATTCAGGTGTTGGCAGAGAGTTCTCATGTAGCCCAGGTTGCTTAGAACTCACCTTGTGGCAGAGGATGACCTTGGATTTTTGCTCCTCTTACCTCCAAATCCCAAGAACTGGAGTTTCAGGTTAAATCCCAGTTCATGCTGTGCTGGGGATTGAACCTAGGACTCTTGTGCTCAGTAAGCAAGCACTCTGCCAACGGAGCTACATCCCCAGGCCAAGAGCTTTTTTTTTTTTTTTTTTTTTTTTTTTAAGAACCAAGCACTTGTTGCTCTTGCAGAGGACCTGGGCTTGTTTCCCAGCATCCGCCAAGGCAGTTCACAACTTCTGTAACTCCACTTACAGGAAATGTGACACCCTCTAGAATGTGT